ATATGGACAGGAAGTGAGTTTATATGAACAGGAAGTGAGTTTATATGAACAGGAAGTGAGTTTACACGGACAGGAAGTGAGTTTACACGGACTGGAAGTGGGTTTATATGGACAGGAAGTGAGTTTATATGGACAGGAAGTGAGTTTATATGGACAGGAAGTGAGTTTATATGAACAGGAAGTGAGTTTACACGGACAGGAAGTGGGTTTACATGGACAGGAAGTGACTTTATATGGACAGGAAGTGAGTTTATATGGACAGGAAGTGAGTTTATATGAACAGGAAGTGAGTTTACACGGACAGGAAGTGGGTTTACATGGACAGGAAGTGACTTTATATGGACAGGAAGTGAGTTTATATGGACAGGAAGTGAGTTTATATGAACAGGAAGTGAGTTTATATGGACAGGAAGTGGGTTTACACGGACAGGAAGTGGGTTTACACGGACAGGAAGTGGGTTTATATGGACAGGAAGTGGGTTTACACGGACAGGAAGTGAGTTTACACGGACAGGAAGTGGGTTTACACGGACAGGAAGTGAGTTTACATGGACAGGAAGTGACTTTATATGGACAGGAAGTGAGTTTATATGGACAGGAAGTGAGTTTATATGGACAGGAAGTGAGTTTATATGGACAGGAAGTGACCTCACAAGGCTGGAAGTGACTTTGCAGAGACAGGAAGTGACGTCAGAGGGACAGGAAGTGACATCAAGGGAGCGGGGAGTGATTCTACCGACACAGGAAGTGACTTTTCAGAGGCAGAAACTGATTTTATTGAGATGGGAAGCGAGTTACTCACACAGGAAGTGAGTCAGGAAGACAGGAAGTGACTTTACAGACACAGGAAGTGGTTTTAGAGACACAGGAAGTGACTTTCTGTAGACAGGAAGTGTCTTTCGTGGATCAGGAAGTGAATTCATTGAGTCAGGAAGTGTCTTTCCTGAGACAAGAAGTGACTTTATAAGGACAGGAAGTGACATCAAGGGGGTGGGAGTGACTTTACAGAGACAGGAAGTGACTTTTTGTAGACAGGAAGTGACTTTATTGAGACAGGAAGTGACTTTTTGTAGACAGGAAGTGACTTCAATGAGACAGGAAGTGACCTTATAAGACAGGAAGTGTCTTTCCCGTGAGAGCGGCTTCAGTCGTGGGCAGGAAGTGACGTCACCACGACACACGAAGCGCGGTCACGCGTGAGAACAGGAAGTGACATCGTCAGGGACGCGTCACACGCCCGGCCCCCGACGTCGGAAGCGACGCCCCGCCCACACGCCCGGGCGTCCTCACCGTGACCCGTGTCCCCGCAGGCGGGTCGGGGGCGCTGGCGCGCGAGGCCGCCCGGCTCTACCCCGGCAGCTCCGTGATCGTCTTCGACGTCCCGGACGTGATCGCCGCGGCGCGGGCGCAGGAGCCGCCCCCGGGGGAGGGCGAGGAGGCGGGGCCGCGCGTGAGCTTCGTGGAGGGTGAGTGAGGGGCGCACAGGGGGGCGGGGACGGTGACATCATCGTGGGCGGGGCTTCCGGGGGCCTCGCGAATATGCAAATTGACCCCCAAACCCACGGACGCCACGTGGTCACTGACAGTCTGCTCATTTGCATTTATGCAAATTGAGACTGATTGACGGAAACGCGTCCTCATTAATATGCAAATTTATGCAAAAATCGAGATGCCGTGAGGTCGACATTTTTATATTGTTATTTGTATTTATGCAAATCAAGGCGTGATAAATTTACGCCGACGGGCGCTCATTAATATGCAAATTTATGCAAAAACCCCACACGGTGATGAGTTTTTAATTAGAATTTATGCAAATCCAGTCTGATCGACGACGCGCGTTAAATTATGGCAAAGGATCCCTCATTAATATGGAAATTTATGCAAAAAAAAATCCGATCCCGCGAGGTCGGTGTTTTATATTGTTATTTGAATTTATGCAAACGATTCCTCATTAATATGTAAATTTATGCACAGACCTCCCTCCCGCGTGCTGTGAGGTCGCCGATATATTTTTTTGATGTAAGAATTTACGCAGACGGAGGCGAAACGGCGTCGGGCGTGTTCATTGGTGCAGACGAGTCCCCATTAACACGCGGATCCAGGGTGATCACGCGTGTGTGCGTTCATTGATGCAAATGAGTTTTCATTAATATGCAAATTTATGCAAAAAAAAATAAGAAACCCGGCCCCAGATGCCGAGAGGTCGCTGACGTGTTCTTATGTTCTTTATTCAGATTTATCCAGATATAGGGCCTCACCCGCGTGTGAATTTATGCAAATGATCCTCATTAATACGCAAATCTATGCTTAACCAGAAGCCGGGAGGTCGCTGGTGTATTTTTTTATCCGGATTTATGCAAATCCGGGCTCATCGCCAACGCGCAGGTCAAATTTATGCAAATGATTCCTCGTTAACGTGTGATTTTGTGCAAAAAAGGGGAAAAAAATGCCGTGAGGTTGCTGGTTTATTTTTTAATTTGAATTTATGCAAATGGAGGCGGATCATCCACGTGTGCGCTGATTCATGCAAATGTTTCCTCATTAATATGCAAATTTATGCAAAAACCCCAAATATTTTTGAGTTCCTGATCTATTTTCCATTTGAATTCATGCAAATCCAGGCTCATCGGCAATGTGCGTGTGAATCTATGCAAATGAGCCCTCATTAATATGCAAAATTATGCAAAAAGGAAGAAGGCCAAGACTCTGCTGATTTGGTCTATTCATTTGGATTTATGCAAATTCAGGCCAATCTCGTGTGCCCGTCCATTGATGCAAATGAGCCCTCATTAATATGCAAAATTACGCAAAAAAGCCCAGATGCCGTGAGGTCAATGATGTATTTTTAATTTGAACATATGCAAATCCATGCTAATCGCCCTCGTGCACATTGATCTATGCAAATGTCTCCTCGTTAATATGCAAACTCATGCGGAAAAATCCCAAAATTTCGTGAGGTCGCTGACGTACTTTTAATCTGAATTTACGCGCGTCCAGGCCAATCGCCCACGTGCGTGCGAACTTATGCCAGCGAGTCCTCATTAACATGTAAATTTATGCAAAAAAAAATCACACCGTCTTCAGGAAACCCTAAAAAGGCAGAACCGCGAAGCCGTCCACGCGCAGCCGGTGAGACGGGGTCGGACGGCGGCGTCTTCCTTCGCGAGAACGTCTGCGGCGCCGTCTGCGAAACCGAAGGAGGACAGAGGAGGGTTCAATAGTCAGTTAAAAATAATTAATTAATAATTAATAATAATTAATACTAAACCAATAAATCAATAATTAATACTAATAATTAATAATAAATAAATGATAAACGATAACAATTAATAATAATTGAACCGATAAACGGATCGTTAGCAAATTATTATTATTACGTTAATAAAACAAATTAAACGAATAAATCGACACGGATGACGCGGCTCGGCGCCCTGGAAACCGCTTCGTCTCGTCGTCACGGTGGTTAATCGATGAGTGTGATCATCGCCGCGTGGTTTCCCGTCCACGCCGACGCAGAGACACCCGCCTCCGAAACCTAAAAAAAATACAAGATCAACATAAAAATAAACATCTAATCCGACCGTTTACGGTAAAGTCCCGAACCGTGAGTCGGGTTCATCTGTTACCGTATCGACGAGGAACCGCGGATACGGGTTCTCCGGGCGCGGGCGTGCGACGACGCGGGTGACCGTCGTTCGTTATCGGATTGTAGGCGGTAGTCCCCGGTTAAAAATGATATTTCAATGTGATATGAAGATGTTTAATATAAAATAAATTATGTAAAATAAGTTAAAGATTATATAAAATATGAAATAAATTATATAAAAGATATTATATAAGACAAATTAGAAATAATATAAGATAAATATGAAATAAATTATATAAAATAAATCATATAAAATAAATATGAAATAAATCATATAAAATAAATTCTACAGGATAAATTAAAAATCATATAAAATAAATATAAAGTAAATTATATAATATAAATTATATAAAATAAATTAAAAATCATATAAATTATTTCTACAGAATAAATTAAAAATTATATAAAATAAATATAAAATAAATTATATAAAAGTTATTATATAAAATAAATTATATAAAATAAATTTAAAATCATAT